CTTTCTTTCTTTCTTTCTTTCTTTCTTTCTTTCTTTCTTTCTTTCTTTCTTTCTTTCCTTCCTTCCTTTCTTTTTTATCATTTATTATTTATACAGTATTCTGCCTGCAGGCCAGAAGAGGGCACCAGATCTTTTCATCTCAGATGGTTGTGAGCCACCATGTGGCTTCTGGGAATTGAACTCAGGACCTTTGGAAGAACAGCCAGTGCTCTTAACCTCTGAGCCATCTCTCCAGCCCTCCCTTTGCTGATCTTAATCTTTGTGACTTTGATATAATTGGTCATTACCATAATGATAATGGTTTCACTGAAGTCTCTCTTTGGGACAAAGTCTCTGGCCTAGACTGGCTTCAAACTGACTATACAGAGAGAATATTTGAACTTCTGATGCTCCTGCTCCCACTCCCGGGTACTGAGACTATGGCGGGCGCCACTCCACACAGACTTATGCAATTCAGGGAACCAAATCTGGGGCATGCTGGCAAACACCTTACCAACGGAGCCACATCCTCAGGCCCGATTCCATTAATTTTTTTTTAATTCTATTTTTATTATCCTGTGAATATTTCATGCATGTATACAATATAGCTTGATCATATCCACCCAAGCCCCAGCCCCGGAACCCCTCCCTGGCATTCCCACCACTGAGCCCAGTTCTTGCTGCCTGTATGTGCGCAGGATGGAGTCATCCATTGCAATATGGGTAGCCTAACAGTAGCCACCACCCAGAGAAAAGGGACAGCCATTTGCTGTCAGGAGCTGTGCCACCCGTGCTGACGTCTTTAGCTGGCTTAATCCCGTGCAGGTGACTAGACCTGCCAGGAGCCCATGAACGCAAGAGCCGAACACATCTACAGGACAGCACTTCACCGCTCTCCTCTCCATCCTCCGGCTCTTACGTCCTTCCTGCCCCTTCTTCACAATGTTCCCTGACCCTCGGGCCACAGATGGAAGGTTGGTAAACAAGTCCCATCTCCAGCAGAACACTTTGTCTCTCTCTCTCGTAATAAAAAGTTACCTTTTTTCAAGATTTATTATTTTTAGTTGTGTATGTGTGTCCCTGTGTGGGCATATACACATGTGTTTGTGTGCCCACAGAGACCAGAAGTGTCCAGTGTCCTGGTGGTTGCGAGCTACTTGATGTGGGTTATGGGAACTGAACCCACATCCCTTGCAAGAGCATGCTCTTAACTGCTTAACTATCTCTCCGGCTCCAGGCTCGTGGTCGCTTAGTCTCAGCACTGGGACCAGCTGTGAGTCTCTGCGTTGACCACCGCTCCCTGCAAGACCGCTCTTTCAGGCAGCGCCACCCAATCCAGCTTCCGGTTTTGTCATGGTCCTTATTAGCATGGACTATTTCTGGTTACCTCACCTCTCAGCATCATTCCTAAGCTACTGAAAATAAAACTTAGTTTCCACAGTACCAATGTTGCAGTGATGTGGGAATAAAAAAAGAAAAGAAAAGAAAACCTATTTCTCTGTAGCTGCTCTCTCCTGGAGAGAGGAGAGGGGCTCAGGAGGGTCATTACACTTTCAAGATTTACGAGGCCCCTTTGTGAGCTTATATAGACAGTGGGGATTCATGCGTGAGAAGGGACTCTTCAGCAGAGCTGCCTAAAGTTGTGCAGGGAGCTCCAGGAACGAAGCAGCCACCCATGCTTGGAGGCGGGGACAGACGAGTGTTTTAGTGATGCAGCTGTCTCCAAGTCACCCATCTCCTGTAAGTCATCCCAATAAACCCATTGGGTCCCCGCGCTGGGGTCTAACGCATCATTTCTCTCATGTGTTTGCCCTGTCTACTGGCAGTGAGTAGAAACGATCTCCAGGGGACGTTCCGCAGCTACCGGGGCACGAGGTCTCCAGCAACAACCTCACGGACCTTCACTTAGCTGTAGCTGAGAGCAAACAATTATCCCTTCCCCTTCCCTTTCCATTGCCCCCTGCGACGGCCTCACAGTGTGCGTCACTTACCCAAATACAGCAGAGGCAGGGCCTTGAGCCCCCACAGCATCTCAGGGACAAGAGAAAACAATGATGGCTCCTGCTGCTGACTGGCCTGGGACCAAATGTCCTGCAAGGCATGATTTGGGATGGGTGAGCACAGGGGAGACCAAAGAGGAAGGTGGCGGGAGCAGAAATAACGCTGATAATAACACTGGGGCCATTTGTCTCTTTAATCACATTTAGGATCTCTTCATCAGGTGAACTGGGTTCCTCTTGGCCACTGACGCAGGGAAGCCTCGAGAACAAGGATCTTCCCCGGGGGTCCCTGTGAGCCTAACATATCTGCTTTCTTTTTTTCTAATCATCTCTCCTGTCTTCTTCCTCCTCCAAGATCTGAGGCACAGGATTCTCTCTAGTCGACAAGGCGGTCTCAAAGTTCATGAAAAGGTTTAAGACTGTTGGGGGACCAGATCCGGTGGTTATGAAGGTGGCTTTGGGTCTACACCCAAGATTGCCCTCTGACCTTCACATGCAGGTACACACCAGAGCACCCTCCACACACAAACCCACAATAAAAATAAAGAAAATAGGATGAAAAGGGAAAATATTTTCTAATCCCCCTTGGGCTATGAGTTGAATTGGTGTGTGTGTGTGTGTGTGTGTTTAGTTCTGAAGAGGGTGTCAGATCCCTGGAGCTGTAGCTACAGGTGGTAGTGAGCCCTCTGACACGAATACTGAAATTCCATTTCAGGCTTACTGCAAGAGTAGTACTTACTCATAACCACGGAGCCATAAGAGTCCTTATTTTTGACTCGTCAAGGTAGGGTCTCAAGTAGTACAGGTTACTCTCAAACTACCATGTAACAGGGCCTGAATTTGAGCCCGTGGTCCTCCCGTGCCCTTTTCCCAATGCCAAGATTATGTGTTTGGCTTACAAATTCAAATCAAAAGGTGGAAACTTTCTGCGTTGGTTCCAGCAACTCAGGGGTGAATGGCTTCAGGCCGGTCCTGCCCAGCTCTCCTCCTTTCCTTGCCTGTAGGCTGGAAGCTGTTCTTGCGGCTCTCTTTTGTTTGCAGAGTCTCAATATGTGTGGGAGGCTGACCTAGATAGACTCTCCCCCCACCCAACCCCCCGTAGTCCTGTCTGGCCTTGATCTTCTGATAGCCCTGTTCTTCTTTGGATGTCGGTGGAGACCGGAAGAAGGCATTGTATCCCCTGGAGCTGGACTTCTATGCAATTGGGAGCCACCTGACCTGGAAACTGAACTCCAGCTGAACTCAGAAAGGGGTGGCAAGCACTCGTAACTGCTGAGCCGTCTCTCCAGTCCCAACAGCAACTTCTTGTCCCTCCCTCTAAATTACCAATTTCTTCTCCAGTTCTCCCTCCTGGTCTTGGTTTCCTAGGGCTCTGGGCTCCTCAGCGTTCCTTCCTTTGTGTATTCCAGGGCAGTTTCACAAGAAACATCCAGTAAGGGCTGACTTACAATTACAGACACTGACTGAGGAGGGGCACACTGATCGGACTGATTTAAGGTTACAGTGCCCACCCTGAACAGCCCACAGGAGGAAGGACGTTGCGCAGACTGGGAGGATCTAAGGTTGAGGAACTGTAACTGACCGGCTCAGAGACTCACCTCTTGAGAAGCCCCGCCCACACAGGGACCAACGAGCAGGCGCATGCCTGCTCAGAACAAATCAGAGTCTGGAGGTGCCAAATCCGAGTCTATGGAGGGTGGAGCCACCGAGAAGCCCCGGATTTGCCTTCTCAGAACTGGTCCCTTAGCAATCATAGCTATGGAGCAGAGCCTCCACCAGCCTTGATTTTTTTTTTTTTTTTTTCCTTGAGCAAGTTGTTCTAGACTCTGGACTAGCCATCTCTTAAAGGATATTCCTACGTCAATACCTCTGCACAAGTAGGTGACAGGTGGATGGAAGGTATTGATCCAAGAACCAATGGCTGGCCAAGCTTGACTGCCACAGCCAATCAGAAAATATCGTGTGTACCCCTTCCTTTTTTCTACTTTGTAACCAAATCATCCATAACAAAAACCAAAAATTAAAAATTAAAAAAAAAAATGACTTAGGAGGAAGCACCAACTCGTCCTCTTATGTCCAAGCCCTTTCTGGCCTATTTCCAGCAAGGCCCATTTTCTCTTAGTTCCTTTTGTTTTGAGATAGGATTTTACTCAGTAGCCAAGGTTGACCTACTATTTGAACTCACTATATAGCCCAGGATGGCCTTAAATCTGGGATTACATGCATAAGCCACCACATGTGGCTATTCTGTCTCTCCTTTGGTCTTCTACTCTCCTTTGCCAAACCTACCAACCCTCGCCCACTCCCACCTCAAACCCCGGTCCCTCTCTGAGGGATTGTGTCTTTGAAAGAAGCAAGACCAAGCCATTGTAGAAGGTTCTGTCTTGTCAGTGGCCATGTAGCTGCTTCCTCTGAGTTCAAATGGTTACATTAAAGCACAGGAAGTAAAACACAAGTCCAAGGAGCTCCTGAAACTTACAAGATTTACAAGGCCCTGAAACTTACAAGATTTACAAGGCCCTTCCCCACAATGGCTGTTCCAGGACTGCCCCAATTGCCTGCAAGCTGTACAGGGAGCTCAGGGCTGCAATTGTCATGAGTCATTACTCATCCTGAAGTGAGTGTTGTGGCGATGCCCTTGAGTCATCCATGTTCCTGTTGGTAACTCTTCATCCATATTCCCGTAACTCAACAACCTCACTGATGCACCAAACTAGATTGGGGTGTTTCTTTGGTTTGCTGTTGGTGTTCAGGTGTCCTCAGGCAAAGTCACTCAACGCCTGTCTACACCCAAATTCCCACAGACGAAGCTACATTGGGACTAGAGAGATAGCTAAGCAGTTAAAGGCACTTGCTCTCAAGCCTGATGACCTGAGCTTGGTCTCCAGGCCCATGTGGTGGAAGGAGAAGACTGCCCTCACAGGTGACCACCGCACGCGTGTGCACGGACAAGATAAATGAGATGTAGTAAAAATAAAGCCACACTGATAAAAACTCACTTTTCCAAGTTACAAAAAACAGGAGGGAACACCTCCCCCCCCCCCCGCCCCGAGTTGAGATAAAAGCTAAATGTGGGGCTTGGAGAGATGGCTCAGAGGTTGACAGCACATACAGCTGTCACGGAGGACTCAAGTTCAGTCCCAAGCACCTGCACTGTGAGCACACGGGGCCTGTAACTACAGCTCCAGCGAACTCTGCCCTCTTTTGGACCCTAAAGGCGCTCTCTTTCTCTCTCTCTCTCCTTCCCTCCCCCCCCACACACTGACAAACACACACACAAAAGGACAAACAAAAAACAAACAAACAAACACCCCTAAGCTCACCCAAGTCCCACGAATAATTCTGGTCCCTCTGAAGTGAACTTACACCCTCTCCATTTACACCTGCTTTGCACTCTGGAACTTACGGCATCTCTCAGATCTGAGCCCACACCCCTCTGCTCCCTCTGGATGGCTCCTATCTTAGGTCTCAGCAGCGCTGCTCCCTTCTCTGAGGTGCCATCTCTGACTCTGGTTCAACCTCGGCTCTTCTCCTGGTCCGTTTCACAGCGTTCTGAGCACGTTCTTCCTACCACTCACCCACACTTGACGTCACCGCGCCTGTTTGATGAGTGTATGGCGTATGTGCACCGGCTGACGCACGCCACGGGAGCAGGTCTCTATGGCACTACGTTGTTGGTACAGAAGGGACCAGCCAGCGGCGAGTGACGTCATGCCCAGGCAAGGATATCCTGGAATGTGTAAGAAAGCTAGCTAAGCGTGAGCCTCTGAGGAAGCCAGAAAGCAGCTCATAGTTTCGCTTTAAGTTCCTGCCCTGCTTCGGTGACGGGCTGTCATTTGGAAGGGCCAGCCTAATAAATTCTTCCTCCTCCAAGGTGTTCTTAGTCTGAGTGTTCTATCGCAGCAGCAGACCTGATGACCCAAGCTTGATCCCCAGGGCAGTATAACTTTCCATAGCTCTGGTGCACTCAACACACCATCTTCCTGTCAGCGACTCTAACAGATTCATTTATTGGGCTAGACATCACATCGGAATCTTTTCTTTGATCTTCTTTGAGATGAATACACCCTTTTTTTTTCATTTTTTATTTTTATTTATTTTTTTACATTTTTCCAGGAAAGTCATGGAACACCAAGAGACGCTATGGTATTCACCTAAGTAGACTCACTGCCTCTGTCTTACCTCTGCCCCTTCCAAAGACGCTACATACACCATCTCTCTCAGAGAATAGTTTCCTCTATGGATCTGCTCATTCGACTTCTTTGCTTCAAACCTTGCAACAGCCCATAATTCATTCATTCATCTATTCAAGTGTTTCACAAACAGATCTGCATGCATTATTCCTGGTAATGGTGACACGGGGAGGAAACAAGACAGGCGCGCATTCCCGTTCCTGAGGTACTGAAGTTCTGAGGGCCGGGATGAGATCCCACGGCATAACCTTCCAGTTCCATTTCGTAAGGCCTGCTCTCTCCACTTACGTCTCTGAGTACACTTTTCACAGCCTGGTCTCTACCTGAGTGTCCTTTAGTGAGCTTCCAGAAGTCTAAGGCAGAGAGACGGGAGCGGGAGGCTTCATCTGCTAAGCACTGATGCTGGAATTAGATTAAAATATAAGGGCTTTCGTGTGTGTGCGTGTATTCGCATGTCAGCCTGTGTGGGATCTGTGTGTCTATGCCTGTGTCTGTGTGTCTGTCTGTGGAACTGGTCACAAAGAAAGTGATCAAACTTCCTTGTTTCACAGTGCTACGTGCACGTTTCTCCCCTGACCCAGAATGAAGCATGTGTCTTGTGGCTCGCCCAAACAACATGTCATAGGTGACCTCCAAAAATCCCGAGAGCAGGTCCAAGAGTCTCCATCTCAGAGAGAGTATGGGATGGGCAGAGGCTGCGAGGGCTTTGTTAGTTCCAATCCTCGGGACCTCAAGTTTATTATGGACTTGGGGCTTCTGAGGTCTCCATGGGTATTTGTAGTTCTGAGGAGAAGGGTAACTTTACATGTGATGCAGTTTCCGAAGGCTTCTTTGGCTTCAGGTTCTCTTCCTCTTCCTGGAAGGTAAGAAAGGAGTGGGACAGAGGGATGATGTAACAGATTTACGGGTGAAGTGGCCATGCCTGAAAAGGAGCTCTAAGTAAACATGGATCAAGCGTCATCTTCCTCACAATACCGTGGCAGGAGCCTGCAAACACTCTCCTCCCTCTGGCCCCTCCCTGGTGCAGCTAAGATCTCACAGAATATCCCTCGGAGTCCTGAGACACTGTACGATTTCCACAGCAGCCTTTTCCCCATGCTCTGGGTCACCCTAAGCCCCTGGCTTTGTCCTCTTTCTGTGAACGGGCACCTCCCTCTACCAGCTTGGTTACTCTCTGAGGGCAGGGGCTGGGTCTGACCCATTCCTGGTACCTCACACTGCCCAGCCTGCCAATTAGGAGATAGTGCAGATAATTCTGGTGGAATTGAAGAGCTGCATGGTGCATTAGTTCCTTATTTCAGGCCAAATAAACACCGGCAACACAGACAGGGAAGGTTTATTCTGGCTCACAGTTTAGGAAAACACAGCCCACCAAGGTGGGATGGGAATGGAAGGAAGAGTGTGAGTCTCCAGTCAGGAAGCAGAGAGCAGACAGAAACCGGACCCAGGTTATAGAAACTTACCCCCTGCCATCACCCCCCCCACACACACACTTCCTTCAGCCAAGCTCAACTTCCTAAAGGTTCCGTAAGCTTCCACAATGGCACCACAAGCTGAGAAACAAGTGTTCAAATTACAGGAGCCTATGGATATGTGTGTGTGTGGGGGGGGGTATTTACACTCAAAGTACAACACAGGGCTTATCCACAAAGGGACACTAGCTCTGTGCAGAGAGTGTTAGGAGGGAGTCGGTGAGGTGGTTTGGATGAGAAATGCTCCCCATGAGTTCCTGTATTTGATTACTTGGACCCCAGTCAGTGACACTGTTTGGGGAGGCCAAAGAGCCTTTGAGAGGTAGAGCCCAGCCTTCCTGGGAGAAGGAGGTCACTGGGGGTGGGCTTTGAATGTTTATAGTCCTGCCCCACTTACTGTCTGCACTCCGAGTCTTAATTGCATTTGATCAGCTCCCAGCCACCACCACAATGGACTCTCAACCCTCTGGAAACATAAGCCCAAATAAACTCTTCCTTGGTCTTGGTGTTTTATCAAGGGAAAGTGAGGAATAACAGCAGGGTCCCTGTGGTCCTGGAGACTCACAGACGGGCAAATGAGAATGAGGCTTGGTAAGCCCCAGCACTGTTCCATCCAAGATGTGCTGGGGTTGTGGGGCTCAGGGTGAAGGGAGGAGCAACCGGGTACTGTGGTTTAGGTGTGGAATTAGACACAGGCTCTCCTGGGTCAGCCATGTGCTCTCCACTGATGGTCCTGTTTTGGGAGCTGTCACAGGTGGCTCAGTGAGGGTGAATCTTTGAGTTACAGCCTGGCCTTGCTTCCTGCCTGTGCTCTCTGTTTCTTTTTGTTTTGTTTTGTTGTGTGTGTGTGTTTATGTGTGTTGTTGTTTGTAAGATGTGTTTTCATGTATGTGTGTCTGTGTGAGTATGTGAGCATGTATGCAGATCCTCGTTGGCCAGAAGAGGGCTTCCAGAGCTGGAGTTATAGTTATTTATGAGCTGTCTGATGTGGGTGCTAGGAACAGACCTCAAGTCTTCTGGAAAGAGCAGGAAGTGCTCTAAACCACCAAGCCATTTCTCCAGCCAGAAAGAGTTTATTTTGGTTCATAGTTCAAGGTACAGTTCGCCATGAAGGGAAAATCAAGGCAACAGGAGCTTGCAGCAGCTGATCACATCACAACCACAGTCAGAAAATACAGCAGGGAACTTCTGCATGCCAGCTGCTCCATGGCTCCACTTTTGCAGTTCATGTTCCCAGGCAGGGAATGGTGCCACCCGCCGTGGGCACCTCAGTCAGTGCAATCAAGACGGGCTCCACAGGAATGCCCAGAGGTCCCTTTCCTGGGTTATTCTATATTCCCAGTTGACAGCTAACACTGACCATCACAGACTGTATCCCTTGAACCATGAGCCAAAACAAAACCTTTAAGTTGCTCTGTCGGGTGTTTGGCCACAGAGCTGAGATTTAAGTACTACCTACACTACAATATTTGGCCCTGACTCGGGCCTGAGGCTGGAGGTGGCTGCTGCCTGCTGAACACCAGAAGAAAATCTTGTGGTTCCAATCTGATTCTCCTGCTAGGGGTCATCAGTCCACCTCCCAGTAGGGATTCAGTGTGTGTGTGTGTGTGTGTGTGTGTGTGTGTGTGTGTGTGTGTGTG